GGGGAGGCAGTTCTACTCTGTGAGGTGGGGAGGCAGTTCTACTCTGTGAGGGGGGAGGCAGTTCTACTCTGTGAGGTGGGGAGGCAGTCCTACTCTGATGGGGGAGGCAGTTCTACTCTGAGGAGGGGCGGTTCTACTCTGTGAGGGGGGCAGTTCTACTCTGTGATGGGGGCAATTCTGCTGTGTGATGGTGGCAGTTCTACTCTGTGATGGGGGGCAGTTCTGCTCTGAGGAGGGGCAGTTCTACTTTGAGATGGGGGAGGCAGTTCTACTCTGTGTGTCCTAATCACCTTGACAGCAACGAGTTTGATAATCTTGAGTCTTTTCACAAATTTTCTGTATAGAGGGTTGGATTTTAAAGGTATCATTTACTTTATGGTCACTATGAGTCGAAATCGACTCGACAGCACGAGTTTGGATTTTTTGTGTTTTCTTTTTAAAATCAGTGTATTGAACTAGCAAAACTCCTGTGATATAATCATAAAAGCAACTGGATTTTGTTCATCTACTGTCCCTTTAGGCATACTCGTCGGTAGTGGGCTGGTGGCCTCCTCTCTGGATGAAAACTCTGGCAGTTCTGTGACTTTTGTGGTCATGAATGAGAAACCATTTTAATTCTTCTTAAATCCAGATTTCTGGGGTCCACGGAGTTGGGGTGACCCACCCAGGCCATTTATCCTTAGGTGTCCTTTTGAAACTTGAGCCTTTAGGGAACTGGTTTTCCCAAAGCCACCTTCAAGTCAAACAACAGCCTAGTAAGCAGCTTAGTGGGGACCGTTTTGCCTTAGGCACTGGGCTGCTTTGGAAAATTATCTATGTGCAGTCTGTTTCCAGAAACATGAACTCCAGGGTCTGACTGAAAGCTGTGTTTTAGGATATATAACCAAAATAACCAAACCCGTTGCTGTCGAGTTGATTCCAATTTATAGCGACCTGCTAACCAAAAGATCAAATCCACCAACCGCTCCTTTGAAACCCTATGGGGCAGTTCTGCTGGGCCCTACAGGGTCACTGTGAGTCAGAATTGACTTGACGGCAACAGATTTGATTGTTTGTTTGTTTACAGTACAGAGTAGCACTACCCCATAGGGTTTCCAAAGAGCATCTGTGGATTCGAACTTCAGACCTTTTGGTTAGCAGCCGAGCTCTTAACCATTGCACCACCAGGGCTCCTACCCTGCCCAGACCCCACCTATATAACCCATTTTCACTATCCCCTCTTCAGAGGGCCTTCCAGATACTTTCGGTTTGATGCTGCCTGATTTGAATCATATCTACTCATAATAAATATATTCTGTTACACTAATTTCTGGTGTTCCTCTTTGCATTTAAGTCTTTAACACTTAAGCAATAGAACATGCTATGATTACTTTAAATCAGTCTCAATTTAATAATTGTCAAGTCCCAGATAAAAATCAAAACTCTGCACACCTCTCCAGGTTAGCACACCCTTCCTCTTGCTTGCCTCCGGGAAGGGAATGCTGCCAGTTCCTTCTGCCTGCTCCCCTCTTCCCCACCTCCCCAGCTGCTGTCGCTGCAGTGGGCTGGCAAGGAGGAGAGGAAAGGTGGGGTGGAAAGCCCTTACTTGGCTGTTTCTGTTGGAGGCTGGCTTTGTATCCTCTGGGTCTGGCCAAGGATTGAGGTGTCTCTTTTATGGGTGCTTTGGAGGCTCCCCTGCTGACCCTGCAGTTCCCAGGATGTGGGATGTGCGTCCCATCCCTCCTGCTGCACCCGCTCCTCCAGCCCCTGGCTTCTGCAGATGAGCTGGGGAATGTGGAGACCCTGGGACGCTAACAATTCTCGACAGCATCTGACCCTCCCAGTGCCTGACTGGCACCGAGGCACAGTGCTGGTTCTTGAGAACTGCTTTGAAAATCTGTGTGTATTCTGGCTTCTCCTCTGGCCTCTATTTCCCGTCGTTTCTTCATGTGCATATTTCCGATGTGAAGTTGGCTGTTTTCAAATGAGTTCCTCTGTGCCTTTCACACAGGACCCAACGAACCCCATGCAGGTGTGCAGGGAGGCCCACCTGAGCCTGGTGTGCTGAGACAGGGAGAGGGCAGAGGGCAGAGGAGGCCCGTGGTCAGGGGTCCTGGGTGGGCAGAGTCCCCGGCCCTGTCCACCAGCTGGGCTGTTGAACAGCGTTTGTGAGTGCCTGGTCATCAGCCTCTTCTCTGCACAACCTCAAGGAACTGGCAAAGCACCACTTAGTGGCTCATCCCTGGGCTTGATGGAGAATGAGTGTGAACCCACCTGTTTTTCTCCCTAGAGGTGCAACCTGGGTGAGGTATCCACCCTCTCTGCACCTCAGTGTACTCACCCGCAAACTGAGCATACTAAGAGCCCACTCCTTGCAGTTATGAGAGAGAATGGAGAGGCACTATAGGACCTTGGCTCACAGCACACACTCATCGTGGGGGTGGTTGTCATCCCTGCGGTCACTGCACTGGGCCCAGGTCCCCTCAGGCCCCTTGGTCCCTGTTATGGATTGAATTGTGTTCCCCCAAAATGTGTGTCAACTTGGCTAGGCCATGATTCCCAGTATTGTGTGGTTGTCTACCATTTTGGGATCTGATGGGATTATCCTATGTGTTGTAAATCCTAACCACTATGTTAATGGAACTTTGGTGGGGCAGTGGTTAAGAGCTACATCTGCTAACCGAAAGGTCAGCAGATTGAATCTGCCAGCTGCTTCTTGGAAACCCTATGGGGCAGTTCTACTCTGTCCTATAGAGTTGCTATGAGTCGGATTTGACTCAACGGCAACGGGTATGATGTTAATGAGGCAGGATTAGAGGCAGTTATGCTAATGAGGCAGGACTCAATCTATAGGATTAGGTTGTATCTTGAATCAATCTCTTTTGAGATATAAAAGAGAGAATCGAGCGGAGAGGAGGGGGACTTCATGCCAGGAGCAGAATGCATCCTTTGGACTCCAGGTCCCAGTGCTGAGAAGCTTCGAGACCAGGGGAAGATTGATGACAAGGACCTTCCCCCAGAACCGACAGACAGAGAAAGCCTTCGCTGGGAGCTGGTGCCCTGAATTCAGCCTCCAGGGCTGTGAGAGAATAAACTTCTCTTTGTTAAACCTATCCACTTGTGGTAGTTCTATTACAGCAGCAGATAACTAAAACAGTCCTCTTGGCTGGCCCCACACATCTGTCACAGACAAGCCACCACTGCAGGTCTAATTCAGAACAGAGTTTATTGTGGGTCACACAGGCCTGAGTCAGCCGTGGCGGCACCTCTTCCCGTCACTCCTCTTTCTCATCTCCGTGGGTGATGATGTAGCACAGGGATTTGTAGTCAATGTTCCCTGCCAGGTCCATGGGCGTCAGGGCGAACATCTGCTCAACCTGGAGGAGGCACTGGTGAGGGGCCCCCGGCACAGCCCAGCAGAGAGGCATGGAGGGGCTGGGGGCAGAAGGGGTCCTGGAAAGACCTGAAGGGAGACCTGGGACCCTTCCCCTCCTCACCCCCAGTGGTGGGTTAGCTTGTAGCCTTTCTGCTGTTTGATATGGGGCTCTGGACAGACTGGGTGGTGCCTCCCCTTGATTCTCTGTCTTTACCCTGTTGCCCCACAGGTACAGGGCACCCTTCCAGCTGCTCCAGCATGCTCTTGCTCACCTGCTTGAGCACCTGGGCCTCTGCATACCTGCATGCACAGCCCTCTCTGCCTAGCACACTCCCTTCCTCTTCTAACTTCACCCTCAGACTGCTTATCACACTGGGTCCGGCTCTTTCTCACTGGCTCAGAGCCCCTTGAGGGCAGGGGCTGGGCCTGTCCTGCTCACTGAGGCACTCCCAGGCCCTGCCCGGCTGGGGCCCAGAGTAGAGATCAGGAAATGGGGGTTGAAAGAGCCAAGATGCCTTACCTCAGCCGGAGAGAACTTGTCTGCCTGGGTCAGGAGGAGCTGCTTGAACCTGAGGAATGGGGAGGGCCACAGAGGAGCCAGCTGCATGGGGACTGGGCAGGGGCTCCCACTGCCACTCACAAAGGAGACAAGAAGGCCCCCCAAATTAAGGCGGGCCACCCTCACAACAGGCTGGGGTGGAGTCCCAGCAGAGTACCCAGTACCCGGCCGTTCACACTTACTCATCCTTGTTCACCACCCCCTGGCCGCTGGGGTCAAACATGCGGAAGGCGCTCAGGATGGCCTCCTCAGGATCTGTCCCTGGGGGTGGAGAAAGCCGGGCAAGCACCCAACACTCAGCCAACTGGCCCCACCCAGGAAGAGTCCCAAGGTACACATAAGCGCTCCGTGTCCCACTGATACAGAGTGTCCCTTGGGGCCCAGAGGGGCTGAGGCAGGGAGGAGGTGGGGAATTAGGTTTTGGAAGTGGACCTGAAGACCCATTTGCTCACTCTGGAGTTGGGACATTGGGCAGGTACGTGCAGTGGGGTCGCATTCTCTGGGCCTGTGTGGCCACTGTAGGGCAGAGGCAGGAGGAGGGCCAGGCTCTTTCAGGCTGATGGGCCCTGACCTCCCAGCTCACCATTGAGCTTCTCCCCGAAGAGTGTGAGGAAGACGGTGAAGTTGATGGGGCCCTTCCCCTCCTGCAGCATGGCGTCCAGCTCCTCATCCGGGACACTCACCTTCCCTGCGGGCAGTGACAAGAGTGGATACAGGGACTCTGGGCTGTCCTCCTCTCCTTCCCAGCCCCAGCTTGGGACGGGGGAGGACAGGGGAGGAGGTGAAGTGGAAGAAAAGTGTGGAAAGAGGGGAGGCAAGGAGGTGTGAGGAGGTTGGGAGCAGTGGGTAGAGAGGGCAGAGGGACGCCCTCAGGAGGGGTGGGCTGGTGTCTAGCAGGGGCCTGTGGGGTGGTGTCTAGCTGGGGCAGGGTGGGAGAAGAGCTCACGAACCAAGCTGGGAGTAGGTCTCTCTCAGGTCGGACTTGCAGATGATGCCATCACGGTTCTGGTCGATGCAGCTGAAGGCCTGTGAGGTGGGGGGCAGTCTCTGGGTGGGAACCAGTTCCCCACCCCCTTGGAAGGCAGGAGGTAGGAGAGTCCTGGGTGGTGTAAGGAGCAGGTGCCAGGGGAGGCCTGGGGAGGCTCTGGCAGCACCAGGGCTACTGACCTACAGAGAAGGGGATATTTGTGGGGCAGGGCTGCTTTGGGGCTGGGGCACTCACTTCCTTGAACTCCTGGATCTGGGCTTGTTCGAACATGGAAAACACGTTGGAAGAGCCTCGCTGGGCTTGCTTGGTGGCTGCAGCCTTGCTCCGGGTGCCCGCCTTCCTGCTGGCCTGCAACACTGGGGGTGGGAGTGGTCCTCTCCCTCTCCCTGCAGTCCACCCCAGCACACCCCCTGGGGCATTCCTCTTCCTCATCCCTGGGATCGCCTCTGGGGCCCCATGCAGGCCCAGGGCTAGTGGAGAGCACCTTCAATAGCTGGGGCTCCCAGCCTACCTATCTCCTTGGCAGCCTGCCTCTGGGGAGCTGGTTGTGTTCTCCTGACCCAGAGGCAGTGGTGCAACAGCACTTGGGAGTTTGCCGGCCTCGTCGCCCCACCTGGCACTTACCATCCTCTTGGGCTGGTATCTACGTTCCTGCTGCGGTTTGGTGGCTGCACGGGGCTCACAGCCTGCTTTATGTGTCAGCCTTATCACCTGGTGGGCCAAATAAGGAGAGGGAGCCAAGGACAGGCCCAAACTTGGCAGTCTCTGCCTGGGCCGGGGCAGATGAAAATCCCTGCAGATTCCAACCACATTCCTGTGATCTCCAGGCCTCCATCGGGATTCCTTCACACGCTTACTTGACGTGGCATGTCATCCACCCCAGGTCAGATCAGGCTGATGTGATGTCCAACTGATAGCACAGGAGGCTCAAAGTCTGCCTGTTCTAGAAGCTGCATAAAAGATCCCCCATCTGGGGGCCCCAGACCCCCTAAATTTGGCCTCAGTGTTTTGTCCTTCACAGAGGGCTGGGACCATCCCTCCTGCAGGTCCAGCTTGGAACCTGCCCAGCCCAAGAGGACAGCTGAGGTTGGAAGGCTAGCCTGGCCCCCGCCTGGCTCAGGAACACAGCGAGTGGTTCTGAGGATGGATCCCGTGAGGTTTCAGCGTACACTCCCCTCTGGGCAGACAGTGACCCCAAGTAGGACTCTTTGCTTGGCTTTGGGGCAATTCTGGGGTGAAGGCGAACTGTCAGGTGTGGCTATTTTCCCACCTCCAGGCCTTTGCTGCATCTGTCGCCCTGCCTGCAGCGCCTCCCTGTGGACAGTACCATCTCTGCTTTTTGAGATCTCCTCATCCCTGAAACTCCCTCTCAAACTCCACCTCCCTCAGGAGGCTCGGCGGAGGTCTGCCCCCCCTCACGTGGCATGGTTTCTGTGGCCTGGTGACTGTGGCTGTGATGTCTGTAGCCCCTTGTCTCCCAGCTCTGCTCCTCCAGTGTGCCCAGATGTGTTGACATCTGTGTTCCCGGAGGGCCCAGCACCTGCTGACGGGTACACTTGCATATGACAGTGTATTGCATGATGCTAATGGGACGGCTGTGGTGGCCACAGAGCAGACTGTGTGGGCCCCAGCCATCCTCGTGGACCCCTGTGAGAGTCATGAACTCAGGGCGAGCGAGGCCTTTGCCACAGCCCCTCTTGTGGCTGTGCCTGCCCGAGCTTCAGTGGCGGTGGGTCAGCCCAGCCCCTTGCTGTCTTTTGGGCCAAAGAGCAGTTGTCTACCAGCTCCTCCCTGGCTGAGGGTACAGAGGAGGTGCTGGGGATACAGGGAACCTCCGGAGGCCTACCATGTGGGCTAAGCTGCAAGGCTGCCCACCCTTGCCCCCTCCCCTGGAGCATGGGCTGTGTTTGTCAGAGAACTTCCCTCGGTCTGGCCTTCGGGGTGCGGGGTGAGGAGGAATGCAGGGAGAGACTGGTTGGTAGAGAGAGGGGTTCTCATCCCAGCAGATCCAACATCCCCGTTTGTATAACAAATATTTAATAACTGCTTTACTATCCTGGACATTCTTTGGAGGTGCAAACAGTTAATACACTTGGCTGCTAAGCAAAAGGTTGGAGGTTCGAGTCCACCCAGAAGCTTCTCAGAAAAAAGGTCTGGCGATCTACTTCCAAACAATCCGCCACTGAAAACCTTATGGAGCACAGTTCTACTCCTACCACATGTGGGGTCACCATGAGTTGGAACTGACTCGACAGCCACTGGTTCTTTTTACAAACCTAAAATACACTACACAGAGAATTAAAGACAAAAGCAAATTGCCATGCCCTAAACTGTAATATAAAGGAGAAATGGACAGAAAGGAATTTATGTTGATCATATGTAAATGATCAAACTTGCATACATTAGAAGACATAATGAAGCAATGAGATGCTTGCACCAATGTATCGTGGGCAATTTGGATTTAAGAGCACTAAGATCAGGAGCAATTCCATATAAGAAGTGCCAGACGAGTGTGTGTGTCACAGTGGGGTGGCTTTTTCAGCTTTCCAAAGTTCTGACTTTTAGTTGATTCCTGAATGAAACAAAGTACAGTCATTCCTCAAGTGACTGGTGTCATGGATTGAATTATGTCTCCCCACAAATGTGTGTATCAATTTGGCTGGGCCATGATTACCAGTATTGTGTGGTTGCCCTCCATTTTGTGATTGTAATTTTATGTTAAAGAAGATTAGGGTGGGATTGTAACACCCTTACTAAGGTCACATTCCTGATCCAATGTAAAGGGAGCTTCCCTGGGGTGTGGTCTGCACCACCTTTTATCTTATAAGAGATAAAAGGAAAGAGAAGCAAGCAGAGAGTTGGGGACCTCATACCACAAAGAAAGCAGTGCCAGGAGCAGAGGGCATCCTTTGGGCCTGGGATCCCTATGTGGAGAAGCTCCTAGTCCACGGGAAGATTGTTGAGAAGGCGGACAGAGAGAAAGCCTTCCCGTGGAGCTGACGCCCTAAATTTGGACTTTTAGCCTACTTTACTGTGAAGAAATAGATCTCTTTGTTAAAGTCACCCACTTGTGGTACTTCTGTTATAGCAGCACTAGATGACTAAGAGAACTGGGTTAGTTGCTTTCATTGAAAAATAAGTGTCTATTAAAATCATACAAAAATATGTGTTTACATGTACAAGGAAAAAAATCAGCATAAATTAAAATTTCCACCTTCTACTTCTTTGTTATGACACCAGCTGCACACGCAGCACTTCTTCCTCAGACCCTGACCACCCAGAGCTAGGTCAGACCTCAAACTTTAAAGGACACAGTCCTTCAGACTGCCAAGTCAGCTAGACGCTGGCAGCAAGCCTGGGTGTCTCCAGGGCTCCCCTGACTTTTGACCTGCTGGCTACAAGCTCGGGGTTTTCCCACCACCCTTTCAGAATGCCAGCTCCATGCTCTGGGCTTCCCAGACCTCCCTAACTTTTGCCCTGCTTCCCACTACTCGCTGGGGTTTGATAATTTGCTGAAATAACTCACAGAACTCACGGAAAGCACCATACTTACGATTACAGATATATTATTGGAAAAAAACAAAAAACAAAACCCATTGCCATTGAGTCGATTCCGACTCATAGCGGCCCTATAGGACAGACTAAACTGCCCCATAGGGCTTCCAAGGTGGATTCAAACTGCTGACCGTTTGGTTAGCAGCCAAGCTCTTAACCACTGTGCCACTAGGGCTCCATAGATAACAAAGGCACCTCAGTTACTCAGAAATTCCAAGGAAGACCAAATTATGCAAAGTAATTCTTTACCCCCACTGTTGCTGTGGAGTTGATTCTGACTCAGAGATCCCATAGGGCAGAGTAGAATTGCCCCATAGGGTTTCCTAGGCTATAATCTTTACGGAAGCCGACTGCCACATCTTTCTCCTGTGGAGCGGCTGGTGGGTTTACACCGCTGACCTTTCGGTTAGCAGCTGAGCACTTAACCACTACGCTACCAGGGCTCCTATTCTTTACCCCACAACATGTAATTATGTTTATATGGAAAATGGCATTAGGTTAACTAATTAATTTGGCTTCGTAACTCTAAATAATATAGTCCCTGGGTGGCACAAACGGTCAGGCTCTTAACCACTAACTGAAAGGTTGACGGTTCAAACCCACCTAGAGATGCCTGGGAAGAAAGGCTTAGTGATCCACTTCTAAAAGGTCACAGCCTTGAAAACCCTATGGAATTCTCCACACACATGGGGTTGCCATAAGTCAGAATTGACTTGATGGCAACTAACAACAACTAAACATCAGGACAGACCTTAGAAATCATCTGAAACCTTGCATCCCTGGCCCCCCAATCCCTGTGAGCACCCAAATGGCCCCAAGGGGCTATAACTGGCCCTGTGAGGCTAGGCAGCAGCAGCGACAGCTCCTAGGGCAGGCCTGTCCCCAGTCCAGAGGAACGCCCAGCCCCATGAAGTCCTAGGACACTCAGGACTTCAGTGCTGAGCACTGAGACGTCAATGGACTCACAGGCCTCATCCCATGGCAGGCAGGCAGGACCAGCAAAGGCAGGGGCTGTCGGGTGTCTCTGACCACCGCCCCTCCCCGTGCCACCTCCATTCCTGTTCCTACTGTCTGCTCCGTCACTTATTGCACTCCCCAGGTTACAGCTGGTGGAAGGGACGGTGAATTCCAGGAAACATCTAGGCCTACAGAAGTGGTTGTGTGCAAATGCAGACGTCTTTTTATGTACTGTTCCTTACACACAAGGGCCAAAGAATGGTTGACAAAGCCATGTGTGAAACTTTTAAATTTTTAATTAAAAAAACCACAAAATCACACAGAGGGTGGTGTGATACATGGGAGGTCTGGTGAGAAGAGACAGCCTGGGTGTCTGTCTCTTGGCTGATTGGACCAAGGCTGTGGGAGCTGAGGATGCCATCACCAAGCTACTCCCAGGCCTATTGGTGGGAGCAGGTGGTATGGGGCTCCTCCCCGTGTGGGTGCCTCACCCAGAGGGCTGGCACCATCCCTTGGGCAGGGGCTTTGGGGACCTTCTTTGAGGGTCCATTCCAGGACCACAAATCAGGCCAAACCACTCAGGGATGGGGATGTGGGAGGGTCGATGCCAATATGTCTAAGCCTCTTGGGGGGTCCTACAGCCCAAAAGCCTCCACAGTGGAGCTGGGCCCCTTTCCCATTGCTCTCCTGGGCCTCTTGAGCCACAGGCAAGATGGTGATGGTGGCAGTACAGAACCACCAGGCCTGGGTGATCAGCAGCCCCCGGCTATAGTCTGGCCAAGCTGATGGAGCTGTCTCCCAACATGGGCTGTGTTCCCAGGGAAGCAAGGCCCCAGCAGTGTCCAGAGCACTAGCATCTTCCCTGCGCAGTGGCCCAGGGTTGGCTGAGCCAGGCCGACAGTTCTGAGAGAGAGAAGATGCAACAGTCTTGAGTGAGCAACTCTGGTCTGGGTTGTGGGACTCAAGCAAGGAGAGGTGCTCTGAGGGGGGGGGAGTCTCCATTCCTGCTCATCTCAGTCCCCCCTCTCCCCAAGGGCTGTCAGTCCGACTGACTCAGAAAGGAGGCCTGTCTGGCCCCCAGTGAGGCCTTCCCCATCTTCCTCGGAGTGGCAGTGGGGATCGGGGGCTTCCAGGGTCCTTGCAAGGAGAGGCGTCCTGCCCTGGCCCAGGCTGCTTTTCACTGGCCCAGCATGCAGGCCTTCTTACAGGCCACAGCGGAGATTAGCGCCGCCCCCCGGCCGCTGCCCTCCTGCGACTCGATGAAGGTGATCTCACAGCTGGGTGTGAGTCTCCGCACGCCGGCGTGGAAGCGTTCCTTGAAGCTGAGGAAGAAGGAACCAGTCCTGGCCACTGTCTCCTCCCTCCCCTCGCAGCCCCACCTCACCCCTTCCCACCTCGCAGAACGCAGTCGCAAGGGAACTGAGAACGCAGTAAAGCAAGGGAACCGAGGCAGGCCTTGGTCAGGGGAGTCTTCCCCACATCTGGGCCAGGGAGGAAGAGGAGAAGAGGAAGGCGGATGGAAGATCAAGGGTTCCTGTAACTGTGAGCCGCAAGAGCCTCGGAGAGCGCCCCTTTCAGCTTCCATTTTGCAGGTGGGAAACAGAAGCAGGGAGCTCTCCCGTCAGGACACAAACGCACGAGGCAGAGGGCCAGGAGCGACCGAGGGAGGTGGGCGGGCTGCTTCCCGGAGGCGCATATAGCAGAGGGCCCGGGCGCGCCTTAGCCTTCCCACCCACGGCGGGGCTCACCTGGGGTGCAGCTTGTACACGGAGCCATCCACGCCCACGGTGATGCGCATCACCTCCTCGCTGCGGCTCTCGCGCATGCGGTTGATGACTCCCGCCAGCCCGGCTGAGCACATCTGCGCTGCGCGCGTGGACACGCTCTCGCAGGCGCGGCGCACGATGTCGCAGTCGGTGGCCGAGGCTCGCAGCCCCAGTGTGCTCAGGATGTTGTAGATCTGCTTGCGGTCGCCCGAGTCGCTGCGAAGACAACGGGGAAGATGGGTCGGTCACAAGAAGGTCGGCCCCGCGGTTCCGCTCGACCCGCGCCTCTCCCCCGGCGAGCGGTGGCTGAGGCGGAGGGTCCGCGACCAAGCCGGCGGAGTCGCGACAGGGTTCGCTCTGCGCTGACTAGCCTGGGGCCCCTCGTTTGAGAAATGGGGGCGACTCCTGCCTACGTCATCTCTGAGCAAACCGACCCGGGGCGTGGGCTCCGGAGGGGCGTGAAGCCTAAGCTTGCCATGGACCAGCCAATAACCTGGGTCATTACTAGTCTCTCTAAGCCACGGAGTCCCCTCTCTAATGCAGGGCGACAACAATGCCGCGCCTAGGTGCTATTGTGAAGATAAATGGACTGGTGAGCTACCGAAAAGGACGCACGGTCGCCGCCCCCTACCTGGGCCCCGCCCCCCGGACCTAGCCCACGCCCGCCCGGTACCAGGGCCCCGCCCCGAGCCCCACCCTCCAGGGTCCCGCCCCAGGTCCCGCCCTGGGCCCCGCCCAAGTACTAGAAACCCAGCCTCGCCCCGCCCGGGCCCCAGCTCCACGCACCTCTCCACCTGCGAGACGAAGCGCGTCTCGAAGGCCCCGCGCGTGCGCAGCTGCTCCGAAGCCTTGCCGTGAAAGAGCAGGTTCTCGTCGGCGAGCTTCAGCAGCACAAGCCGCACCAGCTCACCCATGTACTTGCCGCCGATGAGCTTCTCGTATCTGGGGAGAGGAGAGCACGGTCACCTAGAACGAGCCGGCGACCGACGCCTGCGGGGTGGTTCCAGGGAGACGGGTGGGAACAAGACTAGCTGAAGGGGGTGGGCAGGTCCCCACGTGCAGGTAGAGACCCAACACTGAGGGCTCCTAAAACATAAGTTTTTGGTATGCACGCATCTGGGCACGGTCTAGCTTAAGGTCTATGGGCCTCAAGTTTTTTTTTTATCTTGAAATACATTTAGTACTACTGACCTAATAGAAGTTTATGAGCATCAGAAGTGAAGCTAATAAAGTTATTAGCACGTGCCTGGCACTTAACCCAACTCATTGCCTTCAAGTCCATTCGACTCAGCGACCGTATATAACCTGGCAGGTAGTAGGTAGTTAATAAATTATAGCTATTTTAATAACAAGCTCTGAGAGGGTTAGGTCCCAAGCTGTGTTCTGGGCGGCCACGTGAGCAAGTCAAGGGTCAATATCGTTCCACAAAATATTAATATTCATTCTGTGACTGTGGATAGATATTTTCTTCGGGGAACTCTGGGTTAAACACAATTCCACTTTGCCGCAGGCTTCTCAAAGGCTTTACTATGCCAGTGGTCGTGGGAATCTTTTGGAAGTTGGAGGTTCCCACATTTGGTGGCCCGAGGGTGAGCAGAATGAACGTTGAGCCAGCTCACACAAGGTTTGTCAATTTGCTTTTTCCCAAGCTGTTTAAAAACAAACCCATTATCTGGCAGAGGGAAGGGCTCCCACCTGCCACTGCAAGCGACCCAGAGGCCCAGAGCACATCAAGGCACTGAGGTGGAGGGGGCGGGCGGGGTTCGTCCTTACAGCTGCTGACCGGGGTTCACGGAGGTCTCATCCACTATGCGGTCATACTCTAGCAGGAACTCGTCCAGCTCGCCTGAGTCGCCGAATCCACCCCACTCGGTGTTGACGCACATGCGGCCCTCGTTCCCCTCCACCAGCTCCACGTTCTGCATCTCCTCCATGTAGCAGGCGTTGCAGCCTGTCCCTGCGGCAGGTGGCTTGTGTCAGGCCCCTCCCCGCTGTGCGACCACCACGTTCTGGGTTTCCGGGAGTAGGGCTGGAGCAGCGCGCCTGATGGTTGAGGACTGCACTTCCCTGGAAGCCCATGTCTCCAGGGTGTACCCCGCCAGAAGGCCCTGGTCCTGGCCTGTGGGAGTCCCCTTTGGCTTGGTGTCCTCCCAGCCTCCTCTGAGCCCCACCACTCTGTACCTCTCATGCCTCTGTGAAGGGTCTCCCTGGGTTGCCTGGAGCAATGGAAAGATGGCTCCCCCAGGTGCTAGAAGACCTGGGTCCACCGTGTTACCTTGGGTAGATCCCACCTCTCTGGGGTGCTTCCTCTTCCCCACCTATTACCTGGGGCATTGGGAGAACTGAGGGAAACAGCGGGTGTCAAAGTGCTTTGCCAATTAGAATCACTGCAGAGATAGTATCGTTTTCTCTCCTTTGTGCACCACCTTTGTTTCTAACACTGCCCACACACGCATCTGCCCCAGGCACCCACAAGTAAGTAAGACACAGTGTGGGTCCTCAGGGAACACTGAATGGCTACTGCAGGCAGCACAGGCCCAGGACAAAATGAAAACATGGGGCCCTTGTTCAGAAATGAAGAATTTCAAAACGGTGGCAGCAGAACATGAAGCCAAGCACAAGGCCCTTCTAAGCGCCTTGGGGCCCTGTGGGGCTACGTAGGCTGCACGCCCAGGAAGGCGTCAGGGTCAGCAACTGAAGTGCCTCCAGGAGCCTGGGCGTGAGCAAGTCACAGGTCAGAAGGGCTGCAGCCAGAGGTGGAGTGTGCTCGTCTGTGAGGCAGATGTGAGCCATAGGCCACCCCTTTGCCATCTCTGCTCTTGCCTGGGCAGAGCAAAGACAGCCCGGCCTGGCGAGAGCATACATCATAGGTCTTGGGGAACTACATCCTGACTGGGTGTCCCAGGCAGCCCTGGTAGGTAGGGCAGGGGAGGGGGCACAGCCAGGGACTCCTGGAACGGCTGTTCAGGTGTTGGTCATAAAGACAACTTTCCCTCTCAAAGGTAGGAGGAAAAGAAAAGATGTAAGAAACGAGAGGGAGAGACAAGTGACATCAGGCTGGACTTTAAATGAAATATACATAATAAAACCTGTGAAATCCAGAACCTGTGTAAGGCAGAAACCTGTCAAAGAAGGAAAACGCAAATATTTTCCACTAAAACGACCGAGCGATAGAAAAGTGGTTAAGACTGAAAACTTGCAAGATCCAGAAAAATAAAGCAGTCCTATTGAGTTCCGGCTCTCACAGTTTTCACTGTGTATATGTGTGCGTGTATATATATGTGTGTATATACATACACACACACGTATATATATACACACACACATATATATTATATACATATATGGAGCCCTGGTGGCACAGTGGTTACGCGCTTGGCTGCTAACTGAAAGGTCGGTGGTTCAAACCCACCAGCCCCTCCTTGGGAGAAAGATGTGACAGTCTGCTTCTGTAAATATTACAGCCTTGGAAACCCTATGGGGCAGTACTACTCTGTCCTATAGGGTCGCCATGAGTTGGAAATGACTCGATGGCAATAGGTTTTTTTTTTGTTTTTGTTTTTTGTATATATATATATAAATATATATGTGTGTGTGTGTATATATATATATATATACGTATATATATGAAATGATTTTTGTGTGTGTGTGTGGGGGGATACAATTAGAGACAGGTTCCTAAGAACACAAATACATAACATTTCAGAGTTGGCTCTAAAGGGACCATAAAGGCAAATAACTTCAACACTGACTGTAGGTAACCAGGACCCAGCGTCCGGAAAACACAGGCAGCCTGTGTGCAGCAGATACTAATCTCCCACAGGACTAGACGCCGATCCTCAGTGAGCAGGAACTTCCCGGAAAGGCTGGCCCCTGCCTCCACTCCAGCAGGGCAAGGAAGCTGGGCTGCATGGTCCAGGGAGGATGTCACTACTCTTGATTATCCTCTTCCACTTGGACAAATCTGTGTGGTTTGGTTGATTTACTAGATACCAGGATTGTTTTACGAATCCTGATGTCCCAGTGGACAGGCAGCTGGCATGTCAGTCTGGTGCAATAATTGTCCTATGATGGAAATACTTCCATACCAGTAAATAACTCCTGAACTCACACAACCCCTGAGCTGCACCTCAAGCCCTCCTGTGACCCAGCCCCTTTGAGGTTTATGCCCAGCACATAGGACCCTGCTCTACAGATCATCAGTGGTTGAGTCTTTAGGCTGTAGGGCCTTCGGCAGGGGAAGGTCAGGCCTCTGGCCCTGGGAGCCCTGCTCTGTGCTGCCTGCTGTAGATACACACGTACATGCACAGATACAGCCCAGTCTTCTGTGATGTGATGTGAGATGTGACTGTGGCTCTTGGAAGAGGGGAGTGAGGATTCTTACCCACAATCATGCCAACCTCACACTGGTGGTCTTCATAGTAACAGGAGATCATGGTGGCCACAGTGTCGTTCACCATTGCAACCACGTCCATCTCAAAGTCCTGCCAAGGAGCATGGAGTCAGCAGTGATGGGGGGGTGGTCTCTGGCCTCCCCTGTGTCATCCACCCGGCCCTCCTTGGCATTCTGACCTAACGCTGAGGGGGGCGGGGGAGAGGTCGCAGTGCCTGGGGATGGGAGTCCCGGGACAGCCCAGGGGCAGGCAAAGATGCCATCTCACCCCTCTCCGTTTGATGGCGTCTCTCAGAAGCCCCACAATGTTGTTCCCTTCTGCTCCCGAGGCCTTGAAGCCCTTGGTCCAGTTGAGAAGGATGCCCTGGGGAGAGAAGAAGGCCCTCAGTGATTGCTGCTGACTAACGCTGCGGGGGCAGGGAGCAGGGCCTTTCATCCAGCTCCGGCTCGGGGTGGGGGCGGGGGGGGAAGGGGCAGGGAGCTAACTCTGACCACAAGGACATGCAGCCCTATTTTACAGTTGGGGAAACTGAGGCTCAGAGCAGTCACATAACTTTGAGAAGTGCTGGGAGATAATTCTCCATGAATATCTTATATTTCTGCATGGCTAGGTTGCAGCCAATTTAAAAATGTTTACATAAGGAGGCATTCTTGGACAGTAAAGCTTAGAGACAATATTCCAGAGTAAAGATAAGGTCCAGGGTTGGAAGTGACTCCATGGCAGTGGGTTTGTTGTTTGGGGTTTGGTGGAGCACAGTGATGAGATGTGTGGATGCCGGAGGCAGACTTTCTGACTTTGAGTTCTGGCACTGCCATTTACCCAGAGGCAAGTTATTTATATCATGTGCCTTTCTCGGGATCCATCCATCCACCCATCCTCAGGGTCCCAGCAGGCTGGACCTCTTTTCTGGTCCACCTTGAACATGGCCCACCTTGTCGATGTCTTCATGCCTCACAGGAAAGGAGAAGGTAAAGCCCAAAGGCAGCTTCTTGTGCTTCATCTGATGCTTGTCCAAGAAGTCAGATATGCACTCGGAGATATAGTCAAAGAGCTGCAAGATGCATACCCAGATGGACTTCCAGGAAAGGCCTGTTCTTACTACAGAGGGTGTGCCAGCAGGCGGCGACCCCACTGGGGCCTGTTGCCTGAGGAACACAGTCAGTGCTAAGCCATCAGGTCTCAGGAAGGCATTGGCTTCCGTGTCTGCCCCTGAATGCCAGGCCTGTCCTCAGTTCCTCTCTCCTGATCAGCCACAGCTTGTAGAGATTCAGGCCCTGAGCCTCTCCCATGATGCCAGGGTCCTATGCTGTCAGCTCACCCCTTTCCACTAGACCCAGTGAGGTCCAGCCTCAGGCTGGGCTGTAACTATAATTTCTATCCCCAGCACCCGGTCTCCTTTGATACCTCCAGGTGTCCCAGCTGCCTCACCCTGGCCCTGTGGAGGACCAGCCTCTCCTGCCCCTCCCTGTGGGCCTGTCCACAGAGCTGGGCATCCACTGAATGTTCTGCTTATGGATCAATCGCGTGCTGGGTGCTGGAGCCCAGGGATGCGCCAGCACCATCACTCCCACCTTGATTCTCTCATGGCTCCTGGACAGAGCAGACAGGTGGTGCGAAGAGCACTGGGCTGCCATGGACCCTTCGCCTGCCTTGAAACTCTGCCCTCAGGAGCATGGGGCTCTGTGTTGTGTCTGACTTCTCACCCTGCCGTGCCGGCCTCCCCCAGGGCTCCCTCTACTTCTGCCCCTCTCCTGGCTCCCCCATCGCCAGCAGGCCTGGCTGCTCGGGCAGACTTGGATTAAGCACCCGTGTCTCTGCTTAGGTGCCCTATCATGTCTCTAATCATTACACACTGACTTGTTCTTCTGCGAAGTCGGACAGGGGTTTGACCCTGCAGGGTTCCTCCTGCCACTAACCCCCTCCTCAACCTGGTACCTTTCCCAACGCCAGCCACGGGGTGACCATGGACCCAGGAACAAGTCAGCCATGAGTGGTGGCAGTACGTCTAAGCCCTCTCATCTGCCTTTTCGGGCCCCTCTGAGGCTGGGGAGGATCTCCTCCTGTCCCCCAGCCCATGGCCCCAGAAAGGCTTGAGCCCCCAGCTGCCCAGCCTGCTCACCATCTCCGCGGTGCCTGTCATGGCGTCCTTGGGGATGGAGTACATCTGGTGCTTGGTTTTGATGTTCCACTGTCCCGTCTCACCTTCGCCCACCTTCACCAGCATCACCCTGAAGTTGGTGCCGCCCAGGTCCAGGGAGAGGAAGTCCCCGACTTCTGCAGCCCAGGAAGAAGCTCGTCAGTCTGCTGAGGGGGTGCCTGGGCAACCAAACCCCAAGGCCAGGGGGACAGGAGGCACCGGAAGGGCCCAAGGGAGCTGGGTGAAGCCTGGTGAGATCAGAAATCTGGGGGACCCCTGAGAAAACTGTGAAAACCTCTGCCTTGGACTAAAGTTATCTGGGGCCCAGAGCCAGCCAGAGACCTAGTGAGGTGAACTAGACTCAGGACTGGGCTCAGGAAGGGTGAGGTCAGCCTCAGAGGCTGAGCTGGCTCCATCCTAAGTGACCAGGGACAGCCAGCCTCTCATAACTGAGATGACAAAAGTCAGTTTTACTGAGGCATGACTGCTCACAATAAGCCTAAAGGACAGGGGACCAGCCCAGAGGGCCAAGGGTGAGGACCTGCACGCGTCTGGGACCCAGCATGTTGCAGAATTTACCACTTGCCCATGGAGAGCCCGTGACAGATGTCTACTGGGACACAAGTCAGAGCCGCTATGGAAGGGCCCTTCTGCCTGCTGGAGTCTGGCTGGGACAGCTGCTGCCAGGTTGAGGAGCTGTCCCTGTGCCCCGTACCCTGCGCCATCTCCACAGCCCTGTCTTTGCACCTCATCCCCATCTGTCTTGTCCCTGTGCCTCATCCCTCCATCCTTGTTCCTCCACCCCATTCCCTCAACCTGTCCCTCCACCCCATCCCCGCACCCAATCCCTCTACCCCCTTCCCTCAACCCTTGTCCCTCCACCTCTGTCCCTTTGTGCCATGCCTAGGTAACATCCCTCCACCCCTATCCCTTTACTCCTGTCCCTGGATGCTATCCCTGCACAATGCCCCTCTACCCCAATCCCTGCATCCCACTCTCTGTACCCCATCCCTCCACCCTTGTCCCTGCACCTTATCCCTCTGCCACTGTCCCTTCACCTTGTCCCTCCACCCCCTCCCTGTTACCCTGTCCCTGCACACTGTCCCTGTGCCCCATACCTACCCTGCACCATCTCCACACCTGTCCTTGTACCTCATCACTCATCCCCGTCTGTCTTGTCCCTGTGCCTCATCCCTCCACCCCTGTCCTGGTGCCTGTCCCTGCACATCGTCCCTGTGTCCCATCCCTGTACCCATCTCCCTGCTCCCCATTTCTCTGCCCTGTCCCTGCACTCTGTCCATCCACCACTGTCCTGCATGCCATCCCTGTGTCCTCATTCCTGCACCCCTCTCCCTGCACCCTGCCCCTATACCCTGCCTTTGTGCCCCTATTCCTGTGTGCCTTCCTTCCTCCCCGTCCCTGTGCCCCCGTCCCTGCTCTCCAGCCCTGCTCCCTGTCCCTCTGCTTCTGTTCCTACTCCCCAGCCCTGTTCCTGTCTCCACACTCCTGTTCCTCCACCCCATTCTGATGGAGGTACCTGAGCCCTCCGGGGTGGAGCGCACATAGGTGGGCAGCATCTTCACGCTGGCCTCCTCGTGGGTCTCCAGTCTCAGGCCACGGTCCATCTCCTTCTGCATCTGCCTCATCACCTTCTTCAGGTCCTCCTCCTGCAGCTGGAACTCAGCCAGGATCTTTTCTGCCTGCCAAAGGGAGGGGCTCGGGAGCAGCCAGCTAAGGAGGGGCTGCTGGGCCGGGCGGGCCTCGGGGGAGGCCCTTCAAAATGGACACATACTTTCAAACTATTTACCATAGTTAAAACGAATTGAAAAATTAAAGCGGTGGCATTGGGAGACCAGCCCCTAAGTAATTTTAACCCGGGGTATGTTGGAGGGTGAGTGGCAGAGGGCACGGCCTAGAATGTTCCTGGGGCATAATTTCTCTCAGCATCTCCCTCTGCTCCCTTGGCTCCTGGGCCTAGAGGAGGCAGAGCTAGGGTGCCACCCTGGGGAGACAGGCAGTGCATTGTTGTCTGCAAACCCCGATGTGCACCTCTGGGAGATCAGGGGCCAGTGTGCAGTGTGCACACAGAGGCGTCTGCCCACCCCAGCACGGCTCTCCTCATCACAGGCGCCCCAAGGCCTTTGACAGGGAGGACTCTGTGGAGCCACTGACACCCGTAGCCCAGATGCAGTAGGCACTGGAGCTGTGGGTGCGGACTTTCTGTGGTGTGCCCGCTGGCCTTACCAAAGGGGATGTGGGGACTGGCCGTGAGTTCCAGGGAGCCAGCCCCTGCTCCGAGGCTGTATGTGGCTGTGTGTTCATGGGGAAAAGGCCAAGTCGGTATGCTGGCTCTTTCTGGGCAGTGATAAGAAAAAACTCACAAAGGTATTTTCGTTTTGAATTAAAAAGGAGAAGGAAAGATACTCTGATAAAAACAGAGGCTCTATTCTTCACAAACACGCACACTCTTGTTCCGTGGAGCTATTTTACACATAAGGTCCGGGGGCTTGGAGGCGCCCTGAATTCCAGCCAGGAGGCAGCACAGTCCTTTGCCCCTTTGTCTTAGCTTTTCGAGCTGGCTGGTTAAAGTCTGCGGCCCCTGGGTCCCAGGGGATGACCCACCCCCGACCCAGGCCAAGCACAGCACTCCCATTCCCTTCTGCTGTGATTGGTTTAGAGTTGGGCCTGTGACCCAGCTTTCGCAGGCCAGCCGATGGCAGGGAAGGGAAGCAGATTTTAGTGGGGGGTGGGGGAAGAACTTTTGGGAAGTACACTCTAACCTCAGTCCTGGGGGCAGCTATTTTGCAACCATGAGGAGACAAGCCTGAGGGGAAAAGCTGTTGCCACCTGCTGAGGATGGCGGAGAGGAGAGGTGGCATGGTGATGTACCCACCCCCGAGGCCCCCACCCCTGGAACCCCCACCCCAAGTGCGGGTCCTGGGAGCATCCAACTGCTGAGGCCATGGCCTTTCAGGCTCTCTTCCCTGCAGCCCACAGTGTTCCTAATGGATCCAGATCCTTAGTGAAGAACTTTCTGTTAACTAGGCCCCCCAACCAGGGGAGATCAGAAAGAGGAACTGACAAAGCCTAGGATACACACAGATCCACAGGTCAGTGTTTGCTAAGCCAGCACCATCTGCAGCTCTGGGCATAGGGGTCAAGGTGCAGCCCACCCTGGGGCTGTCCCCGTGGGCTCACCCCTGGTGATGTCCTCAGTGCTCAGGAAACATCCAAGTTTACTCTTCAAGTAAACCCACAGCCCAGCCTGTGCCATTCTCTGCCTTTTTTCACAGGCTGTCAAACACAGGTACTCAAGAGCTGGGGCCTAATAATACACCTCCACATTTGCTGAACTCTTCCACGGCAGGCGGGAGCCGGCGCTTTATGTGGGCCACTTCCCGTCCTCTCTCCACAAGAGCACCCACTTTCTATCGAGGACGAGGCTAACAGGAGCCACACATGCAGTGCACGGCCCCCAGCCCATGCTCAGATGCTGCCTGACACTTCCCTGAGGAGGGGCTGTTCAGGGCATCTGGCAATGGTCAAGCCCTCTGTTGGATTCACCCCTGCCACCCCATCATAGAGGCACATCCCTAAGGCCATGTAGGAGGAGCCGACCCTGCAGTCCGAGGTCACAGAGAGGAAGCTGGCATCGGGCCTGTGAGGCGTGCAGAGTGACCCTCCCTGACAGGGTGGCCGCACCTGGCCACGGGGGCTCAGGGGTCAGCTCCGTGGAGGGACAGAAGGTAGCTGTTGTTTCTTTATCGCAAGCGTGGTGGGGCTGGCAGGGCTGTGCAGGGTGCAGCCAGGCCCGTGCACCGTCCGACTGTTGGTCTCCAGGCCAGAAGGTCCCTCTGTGGAATCCTGGGTCACTCCATGTCAGACTGACGCTGTCCATTTAGAGGGCGACTCAGAGTATCTTTCAAAATTCAATCTTGATCCAGTGATTCCATTCAGAGGGCGACTTGGAATGTCTTTCAAAATTCAATCTTGATCCAGTGACTTCTAAGAATCTCTTCTACAGGGAGGCGACAAGTCCTTCGGTAGAAGCACGTGGGGTGTGGGCTGAGAGCTGTGATGGCAAAGACCTGCCAGCCAGGGCTGCTGCTGCCCATGCTGGGCCCCTCAGGCAACACACTCTGCAGCAGTGACCAAGTGAGACAGGAGTCTCGTGGGGAGACGACTCCTCTCCCCAAGTAAAGTGGTGTCAGGCGTGCGGGGCAGATCTGTCTTACACAATAATTTCAAAGGCTTAAATCTGCTGCCAACACTTAGAGGCATTTTTACTTAAAACTTGGACTTCTGACATTTCCTGGCAAATCAAAAGATGTGTGAAGGTAGGTGTGCACTTTCACTGGGACTGTGGAGAAGCTGCCCTCGTGGGCAGGGGGTGGGGGCATGCCACCACTGCTCTGGGTGCTGGGATGCTGGACAGCCCAGTGATGGAGAACTTTGAAGTGGGGGGGCCCTCCTGAGTGAGACTGCTCCGAGTACAATGCACCCACCCAATTTGGGCTCGGCAGGCCCCTCATTGTCCACACCACAGGGTCTGTGGGCCCCACTGTGCCCATCCCCAGGGCTCCCAATCAATCCCAGGATTGATTGTGGGCACAGGTTGGGGAGGGGTGCTGGAAAGTTCTGCAGCTGGAGTGCTCCACGGGCCACGCCTGACGCGGCCTCCAGGGTCGCCCGGGTGGGGAGGGTGGAGCTGGCCTCCGATCAGGTCTTCCGGAGTGGGGGGTCTCCCACACCCCCATAACACCCCCAGCTCACCCTGGCTCCTGCAGCCTCTGCTTTGGCCTTGCTGGAAGGGGACTGGATGGCTGTGAACTAGTCTGGCTTCCAGAGGTTTTCATGATGAAAGGTGAAGACAGTTCAGAGGGTGCAGAATCTAAAGAGCCAGTTTGAAACTCCAGCCATCCTGCCTGCTGTGCCCTCCCAGGGTAGGACAGGGGGAGGGAAGTCACCGCACCTGCGCCCCACCTCATTACCCCAGTGAGAGTGCGTGCCCAAGGCTGCTGATCCCATCAGCACCTGCCCAGGGGGTAGGGGAAAGCTGATGGGGGACAGTCTCCCCTCCTCCTGTGCCTCTCACCCAGCTGGTCACTCTGGGCCCAAGCTCGGGCACCTGGGGCCTCAGATAGCAGGGTCAAGCCTTTGCTGACGTCTGGGGTACGTGTGGAGGGGCCAACACAGACACTTCCCTGGGGGATGCTGCAATGGAAGCAGACACAGTCTGCAGCTACAAACAACTTCCCCCCCACCCCCACCCCCCACTTTTTTTTAATAGAGATACAGGGAAAGGAAGTGGCTTCAGAGTTAGAGGCAAACTCTACCCAAGAGCAGCCTCTGCCTAGGTAGCCATCATGCCATCTCACTTTTTTGAGGCACACTCTTCAAGGACCCACAGAATTCGGGAACCAGGAAATGGGAGAGGGGGTTGAGGGTGGGGAGGTCAAGAAATAACAGAAACAGGACCTGGGATGGCCACCACCAACCTCAAGCCAGGCGATTCTGCCCAGGCAGGCAGCACCAAGGTGGGAGCACAGCAGGGGATATTGCTGTGTGATGGAAGAGGCCACGGCCCACAGCAGGGGTTTCCTCCTCTCCCCATCTGTTTGTGGGACCCAGAGAATGGCTTTGAGCCTTCAGCAGTGCCTTTGTGGGTGCCAAAGCCGTACCCTGAGGCAGCACAGGGTTCTGGTTACCAGTGCACTCTGGAGCCTCTCTGTCTGGATTTGACCCCAGCTCTGCCCCCTGCTAGCTGAATGTGCCTTCTTTTCCTCACCTGTAGAATGGCAGGAACAACGTGTTCAAAGCTCTTGAAGCTGGGTCTTAGTAAGTCCTCAATAAACAGGAGCAGTGAGCACTGAAGCCCTGCTGCCCCCCAAAGGACAGGCTGCAGAGGCGCTGGGAGGGGCGGCTGTGGCCCCCCCGGGACGTGGCCAAAGCCAGGGGATCGGGGCGTAGGCTCCAGAGCCCACCCCACATCCCTGGAGGGCAGAGCAAGCCTGGCCCCCTCATTCCCCGGGCCTCAGGGCTGTGTACACAGTAGTGAGTAGCCATGGAACTACCACGAGGGTCAAGGGTCAGGTAAGAGTGAGGTTGTGGAAGGCCTGAAACAGCTGGAGACCGCTGAGGAAACCAGGTCTTCTGCAAGACAGCTGGCCGTACCAGGTAAGCATCCTGGGGGGAGACTGTCAGCCCACAAGCTGACAAGCCACTTCTGGGGGGGCTCCCAAGACGACACTCTCCATGGGTGGCTTTTGTCAGGGGATAGCAGTGAGGAAGGAGTAGAGGGGAGAGGGGAGCCCCAGAGGCTTGCTTGCCTCTTTCAAGGGGTCCAGCCACCAGTCTACCCTGCCCGCCCCCACCCCATGCTGTAATCTGTAAAACCAAAGGCACTGTCTGCACGCTAGGAACCCTGCCACTCCTGTGGCCTGGGCTGCTCCCCCAGGGCCAACATCCCTTGGAAGGAGAGGGTGGTGCCCTTGGGTGACCCTTACCAGATTCAACGCTGTCTGGGCCCAGCTCATCATGGCATCCACTGCCATCTCTCTGAGGGGCCAGGAGGTAGGTTTTTTGAACAGTGGAGACACTTCTGCTATGCACAGGGCTCCGCTGGGCCTCCTCACCTGTACAGGTGAGGGCTGTCTGGCTGAGAGCTACCTGTGGCAGGCTGCCCAGGGCTTCTGCACTGAGAGTGAGCCAGGGCAGTCTGCTGAAATACTCTGCCCCCTACCCTGGGGTCAAGGGGCGGCCAGGGAGGGCAGAGCAGGCCCACATCTGGTCAGGGGGCAGGGCTAGTGGGCAG